GTGCCGCAGCCAGAGCCCGAGCCGGAGCCGGAGGCGACGGGAACCGAGCGGGAGCCGCCGAGGCCACCACCGGGTCTCCAGCGCCGCCGCCGCCTCCGCGCCCCCCCCCGCCCCGCGAGCCGGCCCCCTCGCCCCTACCTGCTGGCGGCGGGCGTGAGCGCCGTGGCCAGCCCTTGGCCGGCCGGTGGGCAGCCGGCACCATGGCCGCACCGGAGCCTCTGCGGCCGCGTCTGTGCCGCCTGGTGCGCGGCGAGCACGGCTACGGCTTCCACCTGCACGGCGAGAAGGGCCGCCGCGGGCAGTTCATTCGGCGCGTGGAGCCCGGTTCCCCGGCGGAGGCGGCCGCGCTGCGCGCCGGAGACCGGCTGGTCGAGGTCAACGGCGTCAACGTGGAGGGTGAGACGCACCACCAGGTGGGTGCCTGCGCTCCATCCCCGGCCCACCGCTCCGCCACACCCCACCGCCCCCATCCCCGGAGCGCGTCCCTGACCCGCGCGCGCGGAGGGCGCCAATAACCACCGAGCTCGGGGCTGCCTGCACCCAGGCCTCAGCTCCCTTCTCCGGGCCAGGAGGGGATCGCACAAGGGCCTGCGGTGGGCTCCCGTGGAGAGGTGGGGGACGTGGCCGCTGAGGCAGAGGCAACCGGACTCCTTCCTAGCCTCCTCCAGCCCGGGTCGGTCCTGCATGGAGCGAGGCGGTGGGGGGTGGAATCCTGGCAGGGAGGGGCCCGCATTGCGGCTCCTCCGTGTCTCAGCCCTCGCTCTTAAGTCTTGTTCCGGCCTCAGCGCAATGTGTGGAGGAGTTGGCCCCTCGGGGGTCTCCCTGTGCCTGGGGATCCGGGTGCTTTTCTATCAGCGTGTACACATGTGCGTGTGTACACAACTGGGTATGTCTGTGAATGTACAGGTCCCTCTTGGGGTCCCTCGTGTGTGTACCTGCGGGGGATGTCACAGGGAGGGCACACCTGTGTGTGCCTGCATCAGTTGAGTGAGTGTGTGTGCTGGACTGTATGCACATGAGTATACAGGTCTGCACCCCTAGATATGTGTGTGTGCATACAGATCTGCATGCCTGGACGTGTGTGAACTGGGGGATGTGTGTGTGTGTGTGTGTGTGTGTGTGTGTGTGTGTGTGTATGTACCCTCCTGTGTGTGGCTGTGTATATATGTGTCCCGGCATGTGTGTCTGTTGGCTATGTGTAGTCGTCAGTGTGTCTGCAGCCAGTGTACTAGTGTATGTCCTGGCTGATGGTGTCTGGGTCCTGGTGGGAGTCACCGCTGTGGCAGCACATTCTTCTCCAAAGAGGCTGCTGGATGGCCTGGCGGGGGGGTCACTGATCACAGCCCCCTGCCCCTTGCAGCTGAAGATAAAGGTCAGAGGGAGGTTCTCTGCAGGTTCTGACCCCTGGGGGGTGTCCGTCTCCCACTGACCAGGGACTCACCTGGCTTGGGTCCAGTCTTCCTCCACCCCTTCTACTCAGGCTCCTCTGTGTCCCCCCAGCACCTGTCTGTGTGGCCAGGCCTGGGCCTACAGATTAGTAAATTGGCTGGGCTGGGAGCTGAACTCTCACTTCTACCCTTGGAGATTTTGTTTGTCCATCTGTCTGCCGTACTTCTGTCTTTTACCCAGAGTGTCAGCTGGATAGGCTGTTTGCTGGAGGGTGGGGGTCAAGGCCAGAGAGCTTGGATTGACAGGCCATAGGGAGGGCCTGGTAGAGCTGGCACCTGGCCTCTGTTTAACAGTTGCTGCCACCCTTGCCCCAAGAGCAATGCTTATCCCAGGCCTCCCGGGGTGCTGGTCTCTGAGAACTTCACACGGGACCACTTGAGACCTTCCCACTGTCTTGGAAGGGAGAAGGTACAGTTACGGCTCCCATTTTACAGATGAGGAAACTGATGCTTGGGGATACTGGGTGACTCGTCTGGGTCCCACAGTCAGGAAGCATGAGGGTCCTGGGGTCCTCCTGTGACTCTGTGGCTCATGGGGAAAGACAGGTACAGAGGAGGGCTGGGGCAAAGATGGGCCTGGTTCAGACCCTCCTATCTTTTGAGAACATCTACTGAGCAGCTGGTGGGGGCCCTGTCTGTCCTTTCCCAGGCCTTGGGGTAGGGGTGGGGTATTGCCCTTCCTTCCCCAATGCCCAGTGGGCACTGCCCCTCCGCACACACTACTCCTATCTTTTGAGAACATCTACTGAGCAGCTGGTGGGGGCCCTGTCTGTCCTTTCCCAGGCCTTGGGGTAGGGGTGGGGTATTGCCCTTCCTTCCCCAATGCCCAGTGGGCACTGCCCCTCCTGCGGGCACACACTAGCATGTATGCGCTGTCACCATGCACATGCTCTAGATACTTCACAGACACCTGTGTAACAACACCTGTCCCACAGGTGGACCTGCCCCTCCCCACCTCTCCCTGCTGTGTCTGAATCCTGCTTTCCGGGTTGTGGGTAGGTACCTGAGGAGGTGCCTTGCCACAGGAACCCAGGTGTTCTCTCCGCAGGTCCAGTAGGAATAGGTCCATTGTCATGATCTGGAAGAGAATGGAAGGCCTAGAGGCAGGGGTTTAGACCACTATGTTCCACCACTGGAAAAGACAGAAAAAGGCACAAACACACTGAGACTGGGACCCAGGGAGACAGTTCTCTCCTTCAAACCCAGACCTAGAGACACCCTGAAACAGAAAGCTGCAGGGTGCAGGCTGCACACATGCACACACGCATACTGAAAACCCGAAGCTCAGCCGAGCACCATCTTTGTCACTTCCTGGGCCGAGGTGAGGCCCTGCGAGGCCCCCACAGCCCTTGCAGCCTGGGCACTTGTGTCCGGAGCCCCAGGAGAAGAGGGAGGGAGCTGCTGGAGTGGGGGTGGGGGGCGGAGCCAGCGGGCCTCTCGATCCAGCCGCCCACCCCTGCCCCTGGTAGGCTCGCAGCCTGCGCACAGCCCTGGGCCAGCCCTGGGTGGTGCCGCTGCCCATGTGCTGCCTGCTGCCTGGAGTGCTGGCCGTGACCTCCCACCACCCACCTGTCCCAGGTGGTGCAGAGGATCAAGGCCGTGGAGGGGCAGACTCGGCTGCTGGTGGTGGACAAGGAGACGGATGAAGAGCTCCGCCGGCGGCAACTGACCTGCACCGAGGAGATGGCCCAGCGAGGGCTGCCACCTGCCCACAACCCCTGGGAGCCAAAGCCGGACTGGGCACGAGGGGGCAGCCTTAGCTCTGAGGTCGCCCAGAAGGTATGGTGGGCTCTGCCCACAGGGACCACCTGGGCTCTCCCAGAACCATCTTCTTGTCCTCCTGACAGCAGTCTCTGCCTCTGGTCACCTCCAGAAGTATCTGTCTCCGTCTCTGCTGCCCCTCTGGGCCCCTTCTCTGCCCTTGGTGAAAACCCTCTTGGCTACCTGGAGCCACTTTCTGCCCTCAGCCTGTGCTCTAAACATGTAGTGTCAGGGCAACCTGGCCCTGGTCCACAGCCCCCATCTCTGGCCCTCTTCCCCAGGACGCTCCTCAGAGCCACTTGTCCTAGGAAGGGTCATTCTGACAAGCCACTCCCTCCCTAGCCTAGGGGCTGAGGAACCTGGGAGGGGCTGCTGGGATGTCCTGGGACTGAGCGTGCTCAGCTCTGTGCCTGTGTTGGGTGTCTGTCTGTCCGTCTGTCTGAGGAGCCTGCTTGTGCTCTGAAGGCCTCAGAGGGACTGACCCTCCTCCGTGGTGGCAGCTGAGGAGACTCTCTAAGCTAGGTCCTCAGCTCTGGGGTCTGCAGGGGTTGGGGCACCTCCCCCTTCTCCCTGCTCCCCCCTCCAGACAGGAAGAGCTAACAGGGGAAGAGCTGGGGAAGGGGGAGGTGGTGGTGGTGGGGAGTCTAGTTCTGTCTCTTTCTAGGTAGCAGGGGCTGGGCAGTGGCCCTATTGGGGCAGCACCTGGATGCCAGGAGGAAGAGCCTGCTTGTCCTGCCCTCCTGGAAGCCCCGTGCCCTTACTACCTTCTGTCTTTTGTGCCCCTACTACCTTCTTCATTTTTTTTTTAAAGAGAAAAATCCCTTAAAGGAAGATTCAAGCCGAGGGGCTCCCCAGAGCCCACTTTGAGAACCACTGGCCTGGGGCTGGTGGAGGTGTGAGATCTGATATTTCTGGGTGTGCAGGGGACCCTGACACCTGCCCTGTCCCTTTCCCGGATGTCTCCCAGGCGAGCTGGCCATGCCTGTGACCTGGATCCTGTGGGGCCTCGCGTTTCTCCTGGAGGGGATGGCAT